TTTATTCCCCCTCCTTCCCTGCTCTCTTACTTTCTAATAAAAGGGTCAAATCGATTGCGCTGATCAAAAATTGTGAAATGCGTAGTGCATCGTGTCATGTTATTAGCCCTTCCCAAGTGCGGACACGAACTGCTTCAAAAGTGGTGACTGTGGGCTATTAGTTAAATAAATAATATTGAGCTTAGTATAGCAATAAGCCAAAATTGGAGTTCAAGATAGTCACAGATCAATAGGATAAGAAATAAATTATTTTTTCACCTAGATCATTAAGAATTACAGTTAAGAACTACAATGAAAAATGAACTATAACTCCCTGGTGCATACCTCTTCAAAAATGTCCTTCGCGAAATTAGTGCACCGCAAGAAAGACATATGATGCAAATTAAAGAGTTCGCTTGCATTAAAAAAATATCAAAACGTACTAAATGACCTCCTTACCTTGTCAGCTGACCCGAATGACCAGTGTCCAAGCATTTCGAACATGGTGTGGTGATAAGAATCATAACCAACTTCGTTTAAATCATCATGTCGGCCACCTATTCTGATGCAGGGCTGACTGTTCACTACACGCCTGACTTCACCAAGCCAATTGTGGTTCGTCGAAATTTGATCACCAGAAAGCAGTAATTTGAACTGATTCATACCTATTGCGTAAAATGGATTAGTCATCAACTCGCAATTATAGATCAAAGATAGTAATGTTGCAACATGTGTTCTAAAGCAAGTTATATCTGAGCTGCATGCACTTATTTACAAGAAATATAAAATATGATGCACTTCCATGGATAATTGACAGAAATCTTCACGAGTAGATAATGGGCAAATGGAATAATTTTAGCTAATTAACAAAAGAGGACTATGCAGAAATAATGAATTTTGATATTGATAAGCTTCTGTTTATATAACATTGAACTGGATCAATTTACGGTGGAGGGAGTATACATATAAAGAAACATTAATTAAAACGTAGTCATTTTTTTAAAATAAGCCTTTAAAAGCTAACATCATTCCTCAGCAGATATGAAGAGACTGGGTTTTAAAGAATCCTTTAAGATATTTATATTTGCGTACCTTTTATCTCATGTGAAAAGGCGAATATAAGTTATTCGTAAATTGGTCTTAACGGAAAACCCATGAGGAATTTCTTGCGAGAGGATAATTCTTTGGCGCATTTAACTTATCATGTTTAAATCTCTTGAAACTGATTCAATCATAAAAAGTAGAATCTATGTGTAGTTATGAGGGTCTGAAGATGTAATCAAGGTCTCAACTACTTGTATAGATGTGGGATCGTTACCCATTGCAATCGGTAGAAGGCTATAAAGGAGGAATTTTCGTTAAGATATAAACAAAAGGGTTGCATAAACGGCAAAATCCCCTGCGAGTTATGCTGAATGAATCATGGCCTCTAATATATTGGATAAAGGCTGTGTAAAAGTTATGTAAG